TGTGTATGTGTGTGTGCGTGTGCGTGTGCGTGTGCGTGTGCGTGTGCGTGTGCGTGTGCGTGTGCGTGTGCGTGTGCGTGTGCCTGCGTGCTGCGTGCTGCGTGCGTGCGTGCGTGCGTGCGTGCATGCGTGCGTGCGTGCGTGTCTGTGTGTGTCTGTGTGTGTGCGTGCGTGCGTGCGTGCGTGCGTGAGTGCGTGCGTGCGTGCGTGCGTGCGTGCGTGCCTGCGTGCCTGCGTGCGTCCGTGCGTGCGTGTGTGTGTGTGTGTGTGCGTGTGTGTGTGTGTGAATGTGTGTGTCTGTGTCTGTGTCTGTGAATGGGTCTGTGACTGTGTCTGTGTCTGTGTGTGTATGTGTGTATTTGTGTGCGCGCGTGTGCAGTTGGCCCCCGTCCCTCCTCCCTCTGTGCGTAGCCAGATTGCGCAATTGAAGAAGGCGCTGGGCCAGCGTGACAAAACCACGTGGACGTTCGGCGCGCGCCACCTGTTTTGCGCGACTGGCCCATCCTGGGGTTGATGGAACAATGCACTCATGATGGGAACGCCCTACTGAGAATCTCGACTGCCGTGCCTAGCGCCGTTACCACCCTGTGGAAAGCGGAGAACGCATCCTTCACGTACGCGGACCTATTTGAACATGTGATGTTTTAGCACTTCTTCACACTCACCTCTCGCAAACCACCCTGCAGCAAGCCAGAGCCTGCCCTTCCGCAAACCCCGCAAGAATTCGAGGAGACGCTCCAGGCTGATCGGGCGCCCGTGGGAGGGCAGAGCGGGTCATCGAAAGGCGTCTCGGACGGGGGGCGCGGATTGCGCTGCGCGCGAGCTCGCGTACTCGGGGAGGGGCGAGCGCTTATTCATCTAAACTTGGCCATCGGCGGGCCCACTCGTCCCAGCACGTTCGATGCACGCTTTGGAGGGCATAAGAGGGCCCCTGGACAACCCCAAGAGAGCCCAAGCTGGCCCAGGAGGATCTCCAGAGGGATCCCAGACAGCCTCCAAAGGCCCCATCGACGGCCCAAGGCGACCACGCGACGGCTCCGAGAGCCCCTCTCAACGGCCAAGAAAGCTCGAAGTCGGCCCGAGAAGGCCCCAGGAGCCGCAAGACTGCCCTGCAGGAGCCCGAAACAGCGGAAATGAGCTCCATGAGAGCTCCTCAAGAAGTGGGGACGAACAATGTCACATGTGACGGCCTCCCGTGCCCCCTCGAAGAGTCGCCGCCAAGAATGCTTGGCCCACACGGTGGCGGAACTTGCCGCAGGCAGCCGGAGAATGCTACTATGAGGGGGCCGTGGCCCATCCACGCGCCCCCTCCCGCCTCGGATCAGGGCCAGAACTTCTCCCCAGTATGATAAGCAACCTGGCGAGCCCTCGTCGCCTCCTCCGCTCCCTGCACTAGCCGGCAGCCCCTCGTCCTCCTCGTCCTCCTCGTCCTCGTCCTCGTCCTCGTCCTCGTCCTCGTCCTCGTCCTCGTCCTCGTCCTCCTCCTCCTCCTCCTCCTCCTCCTCCTCCTCCTCCTCCTCCTCCTCCCCCTCTCTGTCGTCCTGAACATCAAGTCGAAACCAACTACGCGCACCTGTCTGAGGACGAGCGGATGCGAGGAGGCGGGCACACCAGGCCCTGTTCGCCGACGGCCTGCAGAGCGAATGCGCAGCGCAGCCGAGACTGTATATGGAGACGGGAGTGCCGACCGTGAAGTGCGGAACGAGAGGGACGCGGACGAGGGGGGGGGCAGAAGAAGTTGGAGCAGAAGAGCAACGGAGTGACGAGGATAGAGAAAGAGATAGAAAGAGAGAAATAACAAAAACAACAACCAACACAATAACAAAAAAACGAAATCGATGGAGGGAGGCTGGGCGGGGAGACCCTGGTTGAGATGACGGCGGCGGCGAGGGCGAGCAAGGTGAGGCCCTGAACAAAGCCCTTGCGCGGGGACTGCAGACGGCTGCCCACTGACGTGAGGCGCCCTCCACGAGGGAGGAGGAGGAGGAGGAGGAGGAGGAGGAGGAGGCCCAGGAGGAGCTGCTGCAAGAAGGCCCAGAAAGAGGCTCGGGAGGAGGAGGCTCAGGAGGAGGAGGCTCAGCAGGAGGGTCAGGAGGAGAAGGCGCCTTCCGCGAGGGAGGACGAGGCGCAGGAGGAGCTGCTGCACCGCTGCAGGGGGGGGCGAGAAAGAGGCGGGACCAGAAAGAGGTGCCCATGGTGCGATTGCTTTGCCCGCGCGAGCGGCACAGCGAGCATGGTCTTTCCCCAGTGTGGGTCACCGGGGCGCCGTGCGCGAAAATTGGGGCGCGAAGCAACGTGGAAGGAGGAGGAGAAGGTTGAAGGGACCCAAGGACACACAAATCCGCCGACCCTGTCGGCGTGTGGAAGACGCATCCCGGTGTCGTCGTCTTGCGTGGATCACCGTCGTCGTCGTCGTCGTCGTCGTCGTCGTCTCCGTCGTGTCCTCGTCGTCTCCGTCTCCGTTGTCCCTCGTCGTCTTCGTCGTTCCCCGTCTCCTTGAGCGCGCGAGCCAAAGCGACATTGAGCAACGTCGTAGTTGAGTCGTGGCGAAGCCCCTCCCTACCCTCCCCGCCGGGGGGGTGGGGGGGGGGGGGGGGGGTCGCCACCCAGATACGCATCCTCCCCGGGGGGTCCCGGAGCTCAGAAAAGCTTCAAGACGAGCCAAGAGCGACAGAAGACACCCCCAAAAGGGTACAAGAGGGCCTCGACTCGACGAACGATGGCCCCAAGACGCCCAAGACGGCCCGAAGACGGCCCAAGAGGCCCTCAAGACGCTCCAAGAGAGCCCCAAGAGCACACCCAAGAGGGCCCCAGGCGCCAAAATCGTCAATTTTACATCGGTTTTTGAATGATTTTGGCCTTCTCGCCTTTTCGGCTTTCCGACACTCCAAGACGGCCCAAGAGGCCCCCAAGAGGCCCCCAAGAGCGCCCCAAGAGGCCTACAAGAGGGCCCCAAGACGGCCCAAGAAGGCCCCAGGACAGCCTAAGAGGCGCCCAAGACGGCCCAATAGGGCCCCAAGACGGGCCCAAGAAACGGCCAAGAGGGGGACGAGGAACCGAGAATTCGAGACTTCCGCCCTAAGAGGCCCCCGGGAAGCCCCAAGAGGCCCCCAAAAGGCCCCAAGAGGCCCCCGAGCGGCGCCAAGACGCCCCCAAGATGCGCCGAAGACGGCCTCCGGAAGCCCCAAGAGGCCCAAAAGAGGCCCCAAGAGGCCCCACAACGGCCCCCAAGAGGCTTCAAGTTGCCTTCCAGACGCCCCCGAGAGGTCAACCACGAGATCCCAACCAACATCCATAAGGCCTCCTCCTCCTCCCCCTTCACCCTTCCTCCTCCTACTCCCTTCCGCCTCCTCCTCCTCCTCCTCCTCCTCCTCCTGCCCCCCCCCTCGTGTTGTCTTTCGTCATCTTCAGGGTCGGCGGCAACGGCCGTAAGGCCTTCGCAATAAATACACACACAAATATAAGCAATCCCCATGTGTTCCCGTATGTTGGGGTTTTCGTCTTCTCCCCACTTCCCATGTTTCCCGATGTTTTCTGGGGAATCGACGATTGATTGTGTCTGTGTGTTTCTTTCTCTCGTGAAAGGTTACGGTAAGCATCCTCCTCCGCCCCCCTCCCCCTCCTCCTCTCGGGAGCGCGAGCGCGCACGCTGCTGCGCCGAAGCTGAATCGGGTTCCGAATGTGGTTACGCCTCCAGCTTCGGGCACGGATGTGGTAAAGGGTGGTAACTACTCGGCATACCTAAGGCTCGGTACGAGAAATGCTCCTCGGTCCTTATGATGTCGACGGCTGCGTGTGCCTTGGTCAAACCCCTCATTCGGAATATGCCGAGCTCGTGGACATAGTGATAGTGAGTCCTACGCCTATGGCGAATGCGGGAAGGGCGCCCGTGCAAATGACGCGTCTGAGAAAGATTCCTCTGAATGCGCTGTCCTAAATCAACTAGCTTAATGCAACTTGGCGACGATCCGAGTCGCTTCGCTCCGCCTCGCATAACATCATGTACATTGGTTCCGTTTGTGCACTTCCGCACTGCCTCTGTCTTAACTCAACATGTGAATAGGCTTCCCGCTTGATCTGGCATGTCTAGCTTAGCTTTAGCTGGTTACTTTCGCTTGGCGCAAGGTCGTCTCAAGTTTAGCTACAACGTTTGCATTCGGTGTGGTCATCCTACGAATAGCAACCCAAAGCCGCCAACGTGCCGTAGGCAACGAGTGGAGTGTCCTCAGGATCATGTGAATCCTCTGCGTCGAGTGCTTTTATACTCTTCAAGGGGCCGAGGGGACGGATTTCCATGAGCTTGTCGCGTGTTGTCGCGTGATTGTTGGACAGTGGCCGCATGACTTTGCCAAATGCCCACGAGCTATGGTAAGATTCCTCTCAAACTTCTAACATGGCCTAAGGTGTTCTCTGGGCCCGTCCACGAGCACTCTCGGGCGCATCTCGGGCGTCTTCAAGGCCCTGGAGGCCAGCACTAGAAGCCAAAATCGCTGAAAAGTCTTGTAGACTTGAAATGCTTTGCTTTTCGATCGCAAGAGCGCCCAGGACGACCCAAGAGGCCACCAAGATTGTCCCAGAGCGGCCCAGGAGGCTCCCAAGAGAGGCTCAAAGGGGGAGCACGAACTGACATTTCGAGCCTCCCCCCCCAAATGGCCTCCGAGACCGCCAGGACGTCGTCTGCTAGGTAGCCAAACATTGTGTTCAGGTCTAGCGGATGTTCACCCTGCTTGAGGTGCCCTTAGCGCTGACGCCGTGGTCAACGCTGACCATATACATCTGACACCGGGCTCCTTCCGCCTGTCAGCCAGCAGCAGGCCGCTCGATATGGCAGAGGACGGATCGGTAAGCATTGCGCGCAGCTGCTCGCATGCCTCCCTCGTCCTCCTAAGGACCCGAAGTAGCCTTCGCCCTAGCGTTAGCCTTAGCCTTTGACACCACGAGGTGGAGGAGGAGGAGGAGGAGGAGGAGGAGGAGGAGGAGGTGCGCCAGTCAGGGCCCGCTCACACCAGGGTCACAGGCTTCTCTGCGGCGGGAAGAATGACGCCCTGGGCCTCCAGGCTGTTGCCGAGCTCCCTCAGGAATGCTGCGTCAACCTCGTCGGGCCGAGGGTCCACCACCCCTGCCCCCGCTCCAAAAGCAGGAGCAGCAGAAGAATGAGGTGAGTTGGATGAGGGAAGCTCGGACAAAAAATACAAATCTAGCCCTGGAGGCGCGATCCGTGTGAGTGGCCGATCGACGCCGTGTCGGGGCCCATGCATTGGGGGTTCCAAAAAGTGTGTTCTGGCCCTGGGAAGGGGGGGGCAGGCCTGGGCGGCGGGGGTTCAAAACTCTTCTCTCCGACATCAGCAAGACGAGGCAGAAGGGAGGAGACATTACATTGCACTGCATTGCGTTGCAGATCCTTGCATTGTGCTGCGATGTATTGTCTTGCATTGCATCATGTTGCGTTGCAACTGGAGCGTTGAATTGCGTTGGAGCGTATTGCATTGCATTGTGTTGCATTGCATTGCGTTGCAGTTGCATGTGTAGTACTTTGCGTTTCACTGGGTTGCGGGCGAGGGGAGAGCGGAAGACAGGGAAGGAGGAGGACATAAGGAGTTACTGAGGAGGGGAGGAAGGAGAAGTGACGAGGGAGAGGAGGAGGAGGAGTGAGGAGGAGGAGGGAGGGGAAAACGAGGAGGGAGGATGGAGGAGGGGGAACGGAGAAGGACGATGAGGAAGAAAAGATGATAATGTTGTTCGCTCCTCTGGCCCTTCTCATCGTGGTCGTCGTCGCTGTCGTCGTCGTGGTGGCATACTCCGCCACAGCGTCCCACAGCACGAAGTGGAGTGCCATCAGGTGCTCCAGAGTCCTCTGTAATATGTACGTGACGAGTAAAGTGAAGTCGTGCTTGTCTTCGGACACCGCGGCGCTGTCACGTGACGGGTGGAGTGGAATAGTTATTGTTCGCCCGCCCAAGCATTGCCATGTGACGAGTGGGGCGGGATTGTTTGTTATTGGGCCCCCGGGGAGCTGACACGCGACGAGGCGCGCATCGCGTTACAGTGCCTCGCATTGAGATGCGTCACGTTGGATTGCACTGCGCTGCGATGCGTTGCATTGCATCGCATCGCATTGCGCCGCGTTGCATTGCATTGAACATGTTCGGGACCTGGCTAAACGAGCCCTACTAATACGCCCAAACCAGGTTCCAAAGAGCCGTACCAATAGGCCATAGCAGCCGTACTCGTAGCCCTTCATCATCATCACCACCACCATCATCATCATTAATCATCTCCATCAACATCATCAGTATCATAATCATCATCATCATCATCATCATCAACATCATCATGACCATGATCATGACCATGACCATGACCATCACCATTATCATCCTCTTCCTCATCCTCATCCTCATCATTATAACCATCATCATCGTCATCATCACCGTCATCATCACCATCACCATCACCATCATCATCATCATCATCATCATCATCATCATCATCAGCATCATCATCATCACCAGCATGATCATGATCATCATGTTCCTTCATCATCATCAGGATAATCATGGTCATCGTAATCGTCATCGTCGTTATGATCATCAGTGTCATCATTATCTTTACCACCATGATCACCATCGTCACCATCTGCCACACTGCTTTCAAACAACACCGTCATCATCACTATCACCATCATAATCGCCCATCATCATCATCGTTATTGTAAACACTGTCGTGATTATCCTCGCGCTCACACTGCCCGACGCATCCCAGAAGGCCCTGAGCAACCCGGAGGGCATGTCAAACCCAGAACGCTCAAACGAGCGCCAGCCCGCCACGGCCTCCTCAACCCTCCGACCCAGCACCACTTCAACTCTCCAACCCGTTCATTCTTCCAACCCTTCGAATACCGACGAACCACCTGGGCAAACGGGCAACCCGGCCGACCAACCAACCAACCAACCGACCAACCAACTAACCAACCAACCGTGCGACCGACGAACCAACCAACCAACCAACCACAAGCGACCGACCAACCAGCCACCCAAGCAATTTTACCAACAAACCAACTAACCAACCAACCAGCCAAACCAAGCAACCAACCGAACAACCAACCAACCAACCAACCAACCGATAAATGAACCAACCAACGGAGCAACTGACCAACCAACCAACCAATCATCCATCCAACCAGCTAATCCATTAGCCAAGCAGCCAACCAACCAACCAACCAACCAACCGACCGACCGACCGACCGACGAACCAATCAATTTTGGCACAACCCTCACACGGATCGCGCTGCAGGGACCGGAAAGATTTTTTTTGAACCCTCTGAGCAATTCTTTTGAACTCTCAGAAAATTGAACCTGCCCCTGGTGAGGTCGAGGTGGAGAGGGAGGAGGGAGGAGAGGGTATCCAAACATTCACGACCGTAAGGATCCGCCACCGTGCCGCTGGGCACTGGGTGGGCGTGTCCTCAGGTCCTGTGCATAATTCCTTAGGCCCCAATCCTCACTCCTTACGAGTCTTGTAAAGGGGCCTGGACCCCAAATTCTCAAATTTACCAGGTACGGATCTCAACATGGATGCCCCGGCCCCGAAGCTTTTTGCACATGCTCCTCAACCGCTCCTCATGCGCTCTGCCGCGAAGACCAAGGCCGCGCCGAGCCCGCTGCAGTAGCGACGCCGGCCGCGTGGGCGCGTCTGGGAAGAGCGTGCCGCCCCCGTCGTCGTCGTCGTCGTCGTCGTCGTCGTCGTCGTCGTCGTCGTCGTCGTCGTCGTCGTCGTCGTCGTCGTCGTTGGCGTCGTCGTACGAGAAGGAAGGGGAGGAGGAGGACGACGAGGAGCAGGAGGAGGAGGAGGAGGACGAGGAGGAGGAGGAGGAGGAGGACGAGGACGAGGAGCAGTAAGAGGAAGAGGAGGAGGAGGAGGAGGAGGAGGAGGAGGAGAAGGAGGGGGCGGTGGTGGGGGCGGGTTTCTTGCCCTGGGCGCGTCGCGAGGACGTGGGCCCAGCGTGCCGAACGGCAGCACCGGGGCGTCGAGGAAGCGTCGGAAGGCGCTGGTCCAGTCGCCAGGCCCGCAGGGCACGGGCCCCTCGAAGTGCGCGGACAGCATGGTCGTGAACGGCCACCTCGACACCTCCTGGAGGAGAGGCTTCCAGGCGGCGCGGCGAGGCTTCCGCGGGCAGGGCCGCGCCATTCCCCTCTGCTCCTGTCCGCACTGCCCCCCTCCATCCTCCCCCTCCTCCCTCTTCCTCCTCGCCCCTCTTCCCCCTTCCTCCTTCTCCCCTCCTCGCCCCTCTTCTTTCTCGCCCCTCTTCCTCCTCGCCCCTCTTCCTCCTCGCCCCTCTTCCTGCTCGCCCCTCTCCCATCCCCTCCCCTCCTCCCCCTCCTCCCTCTTCCTCCCTCTTCCTCCTCAACCACTCTTCCACCTCCCCCTCCCAGGGTCAAAAACAGCCGTGATGTGCTAGCATCGCTGGCGCGCCGTCGGGACCTCGCCGATGTGTCCCCGATCGCAGGCTGGCTGGCCCAGCTCGTGGGCAACGAGAGGCGCTCGCGCCCCCGCCAGCGGCAAGCTTGCCATTTGGAGTCGACGCTTGCTTCCCTGAGTGCACAGGGCGACAACAACACACCCTGTGGGAGCAGTCTGTGTCCCGAATCTGAACGTGTGAGCGACCAATAGCGCTCTAAGATACGGGGGAGAACCCCCCATTTTGCGAGTTCAGCTCTCTCACAACACCACAGCGCACACAGTGGGATCCCCTGCAGCCTGCTGGCTAGTTGGGCTGCAAGCCTCCTCTGCCTCAACCTTTTTGCTTAACCTCCTGCGTCCAAGAGTTGCAGAAGCCTGGCCTGCATCAGCTGCCCTCACTGCGCTGCCAGCCAAGACGCCTCGAGGTGCGATCCGCCGCCAGGGCCCGCTTCAGCGGCTGGCCGCAACGAGAGTCCTCTGCAGCTTGCCGACCTCGTCTCCGTGGCCGCGTCCACGAACCTGGCCGATAGCCACGCACAGCGCGCGCGGTGCTGCGTCGAACGCCCCAGACAGTCCGGTACATATCGAGGGCTTCGAGGTCCATGGGCGCCTCGAGGGCCATGCCCGCCCACATCGAAGGTCATGGGCGCACATCGAGCTTCCGTGGATGGAAACAGATGGGGCGAAACCAAACATAACGTTGGAGTTCCACCATTTCATGAGTTGGACCACGGCCCAGGCACCGACGACCGCTCGTTGAGAAATCCGCCAATGCGTTTTGCGCCCATTCTCCAATTAGGCTTGCCTTACTTGATTAAAGAGTGGTGCCTCCTCCTCCTCCTCATCATCATCTAAACTCTTCCTCAAGCTCCATCCTCCTCCTCCTCCTCCTGCCTCCTGCCTCCTGCTCCTGCTCCTGCCCATCCGTCCTATTCCTCCTCCTCCTCCTCCATGCCTTTCCCTTATGAGTAACTCCTCCCTGTCGCACCCCGAGGCCAGTTGGAAGGGCGGGCTGGGCGTTTCGCCTGAGACTTCCTTATGCTGTATGAGCCTGAGGCTTACACACTGGAAACAGGTTCACACATGGAGGGCGGATCGCTTCCAAAATGTGGCTCTCGCTAGAGCGCCCCGCACATTCTGTAACATAGAAATCATGTGTTAAACAACGTGTAACAGTTTCACGGATTGAGGGCGAGTGGTTTTCAAAACGTACTCTCGCCGTAGTGCCGCGCACATTCGCGTTCAAGCTGTGCAAGAGTTTCGCGGATCGAGGACGGGCCGTGTTCAAAATGTGTCTCTCGCCTTAGCGCCGCGCGCATTCGTTTTAAAAGTTTGCAAGAGCTTCACGGATTGAGGGCGAGTCTTGTTCAATATGTGGCTCTCCCCGCAGCGCCGCGCACATTCGTTTCAGAGTTTTCTCCGACATGGTGATGTGCAACGATTCAGGATTGCCAGGGCGCAACAGTTACGTTGATTCGCGGTGTTGAAGTCCGAGAAATGGCGTTCTGGCACGATTCAGGCTCGCCAAAACGCAACAATC